ATTATTCCCTCAAATATCATATGCGAGAAGAAGATATTTAGATCAAAAAAAAATAATGCTCACATGTTCCATTAAAAAAAACGTAATCCAAAAGAAAAGGATTTGACATAGTCTCATGAAAGGAAATCAACACACAATAAACAAATAATCACAATTCTCTTTCTTATTCACACAAGTCATGCATCCACTAATACACTCTTGAGATCAAATAGGTCTTTATTTAAGGTTGTAATAGGGCCTTGGGATTAGGATTTTGAAACAAAGGATATTCAGAAATTCAAAAGACTATCCCGAGAGAACATGTACATTATACAACCAATATTCTTTCCATAACTTTTCACTCTCCACCATTTAGAAGCACAATTTATAATACTTGCTCATATTTTTTTTCTTTTCAAACACATGCTTTCTATTTTTTTCTCTTTTTTTTCAATCTACTTTTTTACATCTAAACATATTGTCTTTCTTTTTTCTTTTTTTTTTCTCTTTTTTTTAACAAAACAACTGAATGTATATACTTTTTTTTTTAACAAGACATCTAATGCAAATATTCAAAAGTATGCAGAATTGTTTTTTTTTTTTTTTATCTTTTCTCAACCAACATCTCCCAACTTACATAAATAATAAAAAGCTCAATCTGAGGATAACCAAAAGCAAAAGATATAATTTATTTTCATTGGCTTGGTTATTATATGTTGATATAAGAAATAAAATTTTGCTTCAAAAGCTCAATCATGGCTTTTAGGGATAATAATATTCAAAGAATAAGGCTTAGGTTTAAATAATATCAAAGATGGTCTAAAATTATATCTCAAAAAATTTTGATAACATACTTCCCATGCAAATAATTTAAAGTCAAGCAATCATTCATAATATTGGTGTTGATCAAAACAAAAATAATGAGACTATTGAAGGAGATTACCTGAATAAAAATATTCTTTTATTGAGTAAATGTAAATAACCCTTCAAAAAAATATTGAACCAAAACTCACAGTTTTTATGTATCTCCACTATATGTTTCAAGTTCTCAAGATAAAATACTTAACAAATTTTCAACTTAGTAAAGTCTAAAGTGTACAAATTGTGAGTTTTTATAAGAACATGATATGAGATACAAAAATATAGAATGAAGTTCTACATAATGTGTAAACAGTTGCAAATTTAAAGCTAAACAAATTATTTCTTTATTGTGATGTCAAATTATGCATAAAAATGTTATTTAGATATTTAATAACCAACAATTTTTTATATTTTTAGAAAAGTAAATAAACTAGAAAAAAAAACATAAACTAAGAATTTTCACAACATAAAACATACTCATATCCCTCAACCTAAATCCAACATTGTCCTCAATGTAAAAATAAATGTTTTAGTGCTTAATAAAAATAAAGAATAAAGATCAAAGGGATAGGAATATCTGGTGCTGCAATAACTCTAAAACCTAAAAATAAAAACTTAATAAACAAAGAAAACAATAAATTGAAACAAATAGAAAGGAAACTAAAATTAAACAAAAAAATAAAATAAATCTAACTACTATGTACAAATAAAAATAAAAGGTCATACTCAATCCGGTTTAAAGTCAAATTTGAATATACGCAATTTAATTTTTAATGGCTTAAAAATATGGTGTCGAAGTAACTTATTTAATCGAACTATTCACTCAAATACCCAATATATCTTTTGAATATGCAAGAAAAAAGAGATATATACATTTTTATGCAAATCTAACAATGAGATAGAAAATAAATTTTTATCAATTATGACACTCAACTCAANTAGAAAGGAAACTAAAATTAAACAAAAAAATAAAATAAATCTAACTACTATGTACAAATAAAAATAAAAGGTTATACTCAATCCGGTTTAAAGTCAAATTTGAATATACGCTATTTAATTTTTAATGGCTTAAAAATATGGTGTCGAAGTAACTCATTTAATCGAACTATTCACTCATATACCCAATATATCTTTTGAATATGCAAGAAAAAAGAGATATATACATTTTTATGCANAATTTGAATATACGCAATTTAATTTTTAATGGCTTAAAAATATGGTGTCGAAGTAACTTATTTAATCGAACTATTCACTCAAATACCCAATATATCTTTTGAATATGCAAGAAAAAAGAGATATATACATTTTTATGCAAATCTAACAATGAGATAGAAAATAAATTTTTATCAATTATGACACTCAACTCAACTTTTATATTCTCACCAAGATTAGATATGTGAATCTCATTACTACTTGTTGATAATGAAAGGTCTTTGAGCTTATTAACTTCTTGTGAAATAATAATGTCACTTAATTCTTCACTATTAATAGTATTAATAGATTCATCCCCAATTTGTAGTTCAGGAAAAGAATCAGACTCACTATATTAACTATTGTCAACCTCTTGTTTTTGTTTTAATGTATTGAGCACATCTTCTATCTCTTCAATATCTTGGTTTACTTGGGCATTGAAAGCTAGTTGACTTTACATNCAATGTCACTTAATTCTTCACTATCAATAGTATTAATAGATTCATCCCCAATTTGTAGTTCAGGAAAAGAATCAGACTCACTATATTAACTATTGTCAACCTCCTGTTTTTGTTTTAATGTATTGAGCACATCTTCTATCTCTTCAATATCTTGGTTTACTTGGGCATTGAAAGCTAGTTGACTTTACATAAATTCATAAAGAATTTCTTTGAAAGGTAGTTGACTTTGCATAAATTCATAAAGAATGTCTTTCAAATTCTTTTCTTGTGGGTTATGGTAGGGTAGATATTGGGGAGGGTCTGTGGTGATGTGGCATATATAGGTAACTGATAATGTTCATTCCCCCAACTAAAATTGGGATACAAATTTTCAAAACAATGGTCGGGTTAAGGTTGAGAAGAATTAGGTAATACAATTATNCAAAGAATGTCTTTAAAAGGTAGTTGACTTTGCATAAATTCATAAATAATGTCTTTCAAATTCTTTTCTTGTGGGTCATGGTAGGGTGGATATTGGGGAGAGTCTGTGGTGATGTGGCATATATAGGTAACTGATAATGTTCATTCCCCCAACTAAAATTGGGATACAAATTTTCAAAACAATGGTCGGGTTAAGGTTGAGAAGAATTAGGTAATACAATTATCTCATTCCTCAAATATTATNAATTGGGATACAAATTTTCAAAACAATGGTCGGGTTAAGGTTGAGAAGAATTAGGTAATACAATTATCTCATTCCTCAAATATTATCGAGCATTTGGAATTAAAAGGCAAACCTCAATGGGATGCCCATACACATCACAAAGCATACACATATAAAAATATAAAATAAAAATTATGAAATATCTAACTTAAAAAAAAATAAAACAAATAAATAACAAATAATAATAAAAAAGGGACGAGATTACCGGATCTGTGACGAATCTCAAATCTGGCAAACCTCAATAGATGTTATGGCTCCTTGTCAAACAATTTCTTGGCAACGACGTCAAAAACTTACTTCAACTTTAATATTGTAAACTCAAGCACAGGTTGAACAAAGTAATATAATTCTCTGAACATCGAGGTCGAACCCTCAAGGAATTGTAATANATTTCTTGGCAACGACGTCAAAAACTTACTTCAACTTTAATATTGTAAACTCAAGCGCAGGTTGAACAAAGTAATATAATTCTCTGAACATCGAGGTCGAACCCTCAAGGAATTGTAATAAGAAAACAATCACACAAATACTAAAACAAACTTAAAAATCAATAATTTGTTTAGGGAATTGTTGAGTAAAGAAAGTTGATTTAAATAATTAAAACAGTAATAAAAATACTAGAGCATCAGGTACTCCCTCTCAATTCTATATAATAATGATTAAAAACTCAAAATTTAACTTGAAACAAGAATCAGATGTCAATTGATTCGAATAACAAATCAAATAAGAAAACCAAAAGTTATAATCAAAAGATTATTCAGGAACCTGAATAATCATCCAATTATATTATTTTATGAAATAATGATAATTACCTTAAGCGTGGAATATCCAGTTATTTACTCGAAGAAAAATTCAAGCAATCGATGTACATGGAACAACGACTCAAAGATTTTTACAGAATAAAAACTTTACTAAGAAATCAGAAGTTAAATTAACAAAACATCATAAATCATTAAGCACAGAGTCAATAATAGTACCGTACTTCATTGAGAGGTTCTTCCCTAACCCTAACTTAGTCTTCTAGCCAGTCATGACGAACTAAAATAAAAAATAAAAAAATGGAAAGAAAGAATAATCATAATCTCTAAATGAAAACCCCTATTTATATTAAAAATAAATCCTAAGTACAGGTTGAAATGAATTCTTTTCCAAAAAAAAAGTCTTGTAAGGTTAAATTCCGTATATAAAATCTTTGGGACGCGGGTACAAAATCTGTTCAGACTTTGAGCTTGAATTTCGCATATTTAGAGGTTAAATCATGAAAATTTCGTGAAATATACTTTTGTAACCCTTAAAGTCTTCTTTCCAACCCCCAAAAATAAAATAAATCGGATATCGGAGTCAAAAGTTATGACCAAAATATTGAAGACGTGTCAAATCCTTATCTTTTAGGATACTTTCCCAATCCAACTCTAAATGAATTTTATTTCAACTTGAACTCATATAAAGATTAAATTACTGTCATATCTTCAAATCTTCTTATTCAATCTTGACTCTTCAATTCTTATCAATTGTGATTATTGCTTCACTTATATTATCCATTATTACTTTAAATCAACCAATTTACCTGCAAAATAAATCAAACAACTAGAAAAAATATCAAACTAAAAAATTAAGGAATTTAATACATTTAATCACAAATAATATATAATTAACCAATCATTAAATATAATTAAATAGTAATTGTGATGGTTAATCGGTGTGCATGGTATGACTTAAAAAAAAAGTGTTTTTAAAACTTTTAACTTATGATAAATATTTTTTTTTTAAAAAAGTAGTGTTTGGCTTAACTTGTTAGAAACACTTTTTGATAAGTAAAAATAATTTGAGCACCTAAATAAGTTAATAAAGAAAAGTAAAAATAATTAACTTTTACTTTTAAAAATCACTTCTCATTTTCGCTTCTCATTTTCTCCTCACTCCCCGATACCTCTGTCTGCAGGTCCCTGATGCTTCTCTGCCAAAACCCTTCATGTAGCCACTTTGACGCTGATGCCGACAATTTATTCTGAAATGGCCATTTCAGCTACAATGTGCTTCCCTTTGTACATCACATTGTCATTGTTGTCGAAAGCAGCTGTTGTTTATTCAGTTGATTGCACGTACTCGAGAAAGAAATTTGATTCATCAAAGTTCTATTTGATTATTGGCAAGATTTGGAGGCGCATAATTGTGACGTATTTGTGGTTGTGTATGCTGATTGCTGGTTGCCTCACATTGTTTCTTGTTCTTCTTGTTGCCGTGAGCAGCTTGTTTTCTATGATTGTGTACCCTGCAATGATAGTGGGGGTTAGTCTTCTCTATCATTTTAGCAAATGCTATTATTATTTGCAGCATTGCTATTGTGATCTCTGTATTGGAGGATGTTNGGTTAGTCTTCTCTATCATTTTAGCAAATGCTATTATTATTTGCAGCATTGCTATAGTGATCTCTGTATTGGAGGATGTTTCGGGGACTCGGGCGTTGTTGAGGTCTAGTCTGCTTATTAATGGTCAGACTCAAGTGGGTCTTTTGATATTTCTTGGGTCAACAATTGGGATGGCATTATGTGGAGGGTTTATTTGAGCATAGAGTGAAGACATTACGTTTTGGTGATGGGTCTTCGAGGTTATGGGAAGGGCCCCTTTTGGTGGTAATGTATTCATTTGTGGTGCTTATTGATTCCATGATGAGCGCAGTTTTCTACTTCAGTTGTAAGAATTATAGTATGGAAGCCTCAAAGGGAGAATCTCAAGCAGAATTAGCAGCTATGACAATGTCCCCTGGAACGCCGGACATTCAATGACCTTATGTTGGTTGTTTTATGATTTGAAAAGAAATATTAGTTAAGAACACATAGGTGGGAGCTGCTGAGGAAGGCTGGATTTATAGTTACTCTTGTGCTCTTCGGTTTTCAACAAGCAAAGGTGGTTTTTAACCCTAACAGAGAATGGATAGACGGCAGCAGGACCTTTGTTTGATATATGATCATAAATTACTTCTTCAGTGACGTGCAAACTTGAGAGCTGACAGAAAGAATAAAGAAAGCTTGGTAATTGCAACTGTGATGAATTGTTTTATCCCAAACACTGCCCTAGTTAATAATGCTTGACTATTTCTCAAAAATAATGATCTCCCTATGTTATGTTTGTGCTGCAGAGAATAACAATACCATGTCAGCAAAAGGCAGTTCTTTCCCAAGGTACTGATGAATTAAACCAGAAGACAGAAGTTTAATTGAGATTAAATTTTAAAAATCAGCGCAAAACCCCGCCAAATNAGATCTCCCTATGTTATGTTTGTGCTGCAGAGAATAACAATACCATGTCAGCAAAAGGCAGTTCTTTCCCAAGGTACTGATGGATTAAACCAGAAGACAGAAGTTTAATTGAGATTAAATTTTAAAAATCAGCGCAAAACCCCGCCAAATTTCTCACTGCAAAAGAATTTCTCTAAGCAGAAAACCTGGGAAGTAAATAGAAGATTCTAAGACGACAAGGAGTCATTCGATCAACTGCAGACAGTTGATAACATCAGCTTCTTGTTCTCAATATTCCCGAGAACCAAAAGTCCTAGTAGCACTTAGTAAGGGTACCAACTACATAATGATATATTTTTTTTATCATAACTACATAATGATATTGAACAAGAAGAACAAGAATCCTGCTGTAACCAAGAGAGAGCCATATGAGTTTGCTAAAGAGAAAGTATTGAACTTGCATGTAAAACAATGAAAACATGACACTTAACCATATGAAAGAGANACTACATAATGATATTTTTTTTTATCATAATTACATAAGGATATTGAACAAGAAGAACAAGAATCCTGCTGTAACCAAGAGAGAGCCATATGAGTTTGCTAAAGAGAAAGTATTGAACTTGCATGTAAAACAATGAAAACATGACACTTAACCATATGAAAGAGAAAAAAGCAACAATAAAAGAAGGAGGCAGGGACGGGGCGGGATGATATAAGAGGGAAAAAAAAAGAAGCAGAGAAGCAATACAAGCACAGAAAAACAGCTGGACAAGTACTCCNGGGGGCAGGAACGGGGCGGGATGATATAAGAGGGAAAAAAAAGAAGCAGAGAAGCAATACAAGCACAGAAAAACAGCTGGACAAGTACTCCTGCGTGTATTAGAATGAAGAACCAAAAAACAATAAAAGTAGCATGATCCCTCTCAGCCTCAAGAGACCAGAGGAACCTAATCCACATTAATGAATAATACTAAAGCCTAAAGCTGAGTCAAAGATCATGCCTATTATGAAGATCCATATGACTCTTCTGTCTTTGTTTTTCACAAAATCCATTTAAGTAATTGAGGATAAGTAATGATGTAACTGAACTAAGAAGACTATCACCTTTCCTATGATGGTACTCTATAGCTCAGGTTGAATGGAGATAAAAATCCCTATCTCCTATAAGTTGCTTTCCAGAAGACAGATAATTGGCAATGAATCTGCATTCTGCACTAAGCATTAAAAAATGCTAGTTTGAAGCTGATTCGGAATTTTCTTTGTAGCAATTTCATAATTGGTCATGGCAGAAAGGTTAACAACAGGAGATTTTATAAGTACTGCAACAGAAACGTTGGTGGTTTAATCCTGCAACAACAAAAAATCAACACAATATCTTCTTTGTATGTACTCACCTTTTCTGGAGCCTAACTTCAGGTACTGGTTGCCATCAAACCACCAACAAATCAGAACCTGGGTGGCAAACATAAAATTGAATTCTCGGAAACATTCACGAAAAAACGAAGAGGCAAGCACCCCTCACTAATTCTGCCTTTACAATATCTTCTTATTCTCTTATTGATATTTCTACCTAAAGACTAAATTATATTAATTAGGACCAATTTTGCAAATTTGTTATCTTTGAATACATGTACCTTATATCATTCATCCATTAACTTAATCAATATTTCACATTTAGATTATACTCTTCACAGAAACAGAATGACTGAAAAATGTTTGCCCTTCTAGATCAAAAAGCCTAGATTGCTCGAAATAGATCAAAACCACCTCAGACGAAAAATCAACTCAACGAAAACGCAAAACAAAGAAAATCTAATAACGTAATCGACTGTTTGAATCACATCAACTAATTGGACAAACCAATAGTGTCAATATAATAAGGTAAATTTCACGCAAAAAAATTCTCTCACCATAACAAAACTTGATCAATTACAAACCCTATAAACCAAAATAAAATAAACAACAACAAAATTCTCTAGCTATTATTACTATAGATCAAGATTGTGACCTGAATTTCTCAAGCGACAGCGACGGGCTGCTGCGTCGACGGCTCGACGTTCTTCNAAAAATAAAAAACCACAAAATTCTCTAGCTATTATTACTATAGATCAAGATTGTGACCTGAATTTCTCAAGNTAAAATAAACAACAACAAAATTCTCTAGCTATTATTACTATAGATCAAGATTGTGACCTGAATTTCTCAAGCGACAGCGACGGGCTGCTGCGTCGACGGCTCGACGTTCTTCTTCGACTTCTGATCGGACTCGCCGAGAAAGTCTTCGACATTGTAGACTACGGTGATGTAGAGAGAGCAACTAGGGCACCGAGCGATCTCTTCGCCGAGTTTAAGATCTTCTTTGGTGATCTGAAACAGGTCTCCGCATGGGCAAGGGTACGTGAAGGCCTGAAGCTCCTCGTTCCACTCCATGTCTTCGATCTCTACGTCGTCGTAGGACATCGTTTCTCCCTCTAATGCTCAGACGGTGGTGGTGGTGGCGGCGGCGAGGATGATTTGGGAAGCTCAGAATAAGAAGACAAAGCTAGCGTAGTCTCGCCGCCAGCATCATAGGCCCTCAATTGCAAGATCAACCGACTTGGAAATTTCAAGGTCGGTTAACGAGGTCGTTTTATGTACCGTTATATAAAAAAATTAAGAGAGAATTACACTAAAATTCCATGAGATTTGTCACTTAATTACTTAAATCACTAAATATTTAAAACATTATACACAAACCTCCTAAAGTTTATACATGCATTACATTAGACCCCTACCATCAAATGTCTGTTATCGAATTACATCCAGATCTCATGAAGTTTATAGGCGTATAATATTTAAATGCTTTAAGCTTAAAATGTTATACTTAGACAAAAAATATTCCAATTAAAAATATAATATTAAATATTTTAAATTTTAAAACTAAAATTTATGTTCTATTGTATTATTTATTGAAATAAAATCAATAAATAAAAGACCAATTTTTTCTTAAAAAATTCTAATTAATATACAATTATACTATCTATTGAAATAAAATTAAAAAAATCAAATAAGGAGCCAAACTATAATAGGCACAATATATTTTAGGTTTAATTGGGATAATTTGACAGTTTAATTTGGTCGTTTAAATGACTAAATTAAGTTTCAATACATAGTATAATTGTATACTAATTATGAATTTTTAAGAAAAAAATTATATTTTTATTTTTAAATTTATTTCAATAAATATCATAATAGAACATCAATTTTTGTTATAAAATTTAAAATATTTAATATTTTATTTTTATTAGAGTATTTTTTGTCTAAATATAACATTTTAAACTTGATGATTCTAAGTATTATACGCTTATAAACTTGAGAGGGTCTAAATATAATTTACTAACGAATATACGATATTGACGATAGGGGTCCAAATATTACGCGTATAAAAAATTAAGAGATCAATTAAGAGTAATAATTTATGGCACGACAAGTAAATACAATACAAAATTGACACGAACTCATAAACGATACAACATGTTAACACAAATAATAAATAAGTCAAATTAATGATAAATACAAATAATAAATGATTAACACATTTAATTAAACCAACAAGGAAGACAAACAAATGTTATATTCAAAATAGACAACTGTGAGTAAAAAAAAGACTGAAAAATAAGGTCCAACATTTGCCGCAAACCTATATCAAATAAAGGGAGATTAATTTTTCACTTAAATAAAGATAGATTTAAATATTTAATCAAATATTCAATAATTAGATTTCACTTTTTTAAAAGATGCAATGATTCTATTTTATTTTTCTTTAAATTTGAGTTTATTCTATTTTAAATTTGAATTTATTTTTTTAAATTTGAATATATCAATTAAAGTATCTTGTACCAAATAAAACTATTTACTCATTTTTTTATTCAAATAACATTAGAAATGCCCCTACAACTCTTCCTTTAGCAGCCAAACAGATGTGCCCTTCACTTCTGAGTGCATTAGTTCCAAGCTATGAACACAAGTAGGTAGGTAGGTAGGTGGCTAGGTAAGGTAAAAGGGCATGAGCTCTGCCGCTGTTGATGCTGGTTGTAAGGAGTTTTGGTCTTTGAGTCAAGCCGGGGCGTTATTTCACTCTCATAACGAGAATGAGTGCACCACCGAAAGATCAGACAAATTGCTCCCCCACCTTGAAACAACGACATCTGTCTTTTGAGCGAAATCATTTCCTAAGATGACTCCCCTTATTCTACTGTAATTCAAACCGTAGCTCCACGGGTCTGCTCTAGTGTACCAATACTTATTTTAATTATTTCACGATTAACACGTTTTACTTATTTTTATTATTATATCTATCAAATTAATTTTTAAATTTATAAAAAAAGTACGAGTGAGTTTAATTTAAGAGATAATAAAATCTTAGACTTTAATTTTAGTACTAATTTTTTGATTCACAAGTCATATAGATTAACACGAATAAAAACATAAAAGATTGACATGAATATGATTATTACCTCTAAATTCAATACATCATTTGCATTAGCATTAATATCCAATTGGTGACACTGTATGAGAGAGAGACAGAGAGAGATGGTACGGATTAGGGTAGAGTAGACTAGGCATGGGTTTGGAGAGGGGTTCAAGTTTTTTTTAGTTTATTGAGTTTGGCCAACCAAATTTTAGCACCCAAATTTTAATGCGTCGTTCGGTAAAAATGATAGAAAGTATGAGTAGTGAAAAGTAAGAAAAATATATTTCCTACTCTTTAAAGAAAAAAAATAGGAATGATACATTTTTTTTCTTTTATATTTAGTAGGATGGATAAAAAATAAAAATAATTAATTTTTTTTTTGCTGATTAAGATTAGGCGGAACATTCGAGTCCTGCTTGTTAAGTTCATGTTGAGTCATTACGGGTTTGTGTCGAACATTAGTCAAATTTAACTCAATTCATTTAACTAATTATGTCTTGNACTAAACACGATGACACAACTCAAATTCGACACAAATTTTATGACACGAATTTGAAAATGACCTGACACGCAAAAACGAAATAAAAAAAGTTCATAATTTTATGAGTCAACACGAATCTAACATGACATGACTCGATTGTCAATTCTAATCTTAACTAACATAGAAAAAAANATTTAACATTAATATTCTATTTTCACTTAATTGAATTCATGTTCATATTTTTTTTACAAATTAAAAATTAACTTAAATAAATATAATAATAATAATAATTTAAATTTTTTTATTTATATTAATTATGTTAGCACTTAGCAAATAGTTTCAAATAATTAACATTTTATGTTCATAATACTAATTAAACATNTTTTCCATCGTTTAAGTATAGAAAATGTATCCCTCTTACTTTTCATCTTTCCTACCAAACGGAGCATTAGTGAGTTAAATGAAAAATTAATTCATCTATTTTTTTATCCTTCCTATATTATTTCCTTATCAAATATGATGTTATATCTATTCTTTCAATTTTCTATTCTTCTATTTTTTTATCATATCAAACGGAGCATAAAGTTTTTAACGAAAGAAGTTGAACTTTTGCACGATGTTTCTAGATTAATAAGTGCAGAGTTTACTCATAGGTCATGAGTCAAAAGAGATTGAGATAAAATTTTATTGAGTTGAGTTAAAAAAATATATAACTCATAAACATAAAATCTAGGGGTCTTTTATTTCATGTTTTTATTTTTTGTTTTTAATTTTTTGGCAAAACAAAAACAAAAACCTATTTGGGAAATGTTTTTTTTTTTTTTAAGATAAGTTGTTTTCAAAATAAGATCCAAAAATAAGGGGAAATAAAAGATGTTCTAAAAAACAAGGTAAAACAGAAACAAAAAACACGAAGGCCTCTGGGGGATTAATGAGATCCCGACTTTGAGCTTTGTTAGTAGCAAATAAGTCTTTTTTTTTTTTTTCATTCAAGTATAAAAACCCAATTCTCATATATTTTCTCCCCTTTCTTATTAGACGAACGCCTCGCTGCCTCTTCATCGTAGCATCTTTCCCCTATCTTTGTAGAACGATCGTTGGCTCTCTCCATCGCCACCTCTCTTGCACCTCCGTCTGAGTTAGATCTGTGTGTGTGTGTTAATTTGTGGGTCTCTCTCTATTTGTGGGTAGGTGTTGATTTTTTGATCTCTGTGTGTGTGCATTTTTTTGTGTGTGGGTGTTCGATTTTTGTGTGTTGGTGTCTGATTTATGGGTGTGTGTGTGTGTACATTTTTTTTGTGTGGGTGTCTAATTTGTGGGTCTTGATTGAGGATATTGGATCTTAGTTGAGGGGAATTGGGTCTCAACTAGGATTGTCAATTGTATAAAGTGAATTCGTATAGAACCTTAATGGCTTCAGATTAAAAAATATTTTATCAATACTTCATTTATTTATTAATTTTTATCTAATTTTTACCTAACGAATCGTGTCATATTAAATTTGTGTCGTAAATGAATCGAATATAATTGTATATAAATAAGTCAGGCCGTGAATACTTAAAGTTTATCACTAGCTAAAATTTAGCTTTTAATTTCAATTTTATAAATTTATTACTCTCATTTAAACAACTTCAAAAGTAGGCCCATATATGATGCTACTACCCCCCATTTTACCAAAACCGATACAACCCAAATGTAAAATGATGCACCGCTGAGCTGACAACCATAGTAATATTGTATTGAGGGAAGAGGATTTATATCCCAAGGAATAAATATTCAGCGGAACAATTATACGACATCAGTATTATCATATGATGTAATCCTTTGATGTTAATCAATAAGTGGATCAAGTGGCCCAATTTTTTTTACATGGAGTGGTTGCTATAGTACATTAAAGAGTAGTTATTTTAGTAAGTGGGGTCTATTTTTTTTATTTGGTGAATTATTATTGTATAGTTATATCATATGATAATGTTGATGTGGTATAATTGTTATACCTAATAGACTCATTTGGTAGACATATTATCAAGGTATTAAATATAAAATTGTACTATTTTTTATTTAATTGAGTCTAATACTTTGTTCGATAAATAAATTTGATACCGTATTAATTTCAAAAACATATATTAATCATATACTTAACGTATATTTTTTATATGATAGACCTATATTATGATAGTATTTTAATACCACATCTTTAGATGGTATTATAATCTAACTCAAATGTATTAACCAAATAACTCATTGTATTAAATAACTATTATCTAACGTTTATATTGTGTATTGTCAAATATTAGATACGATTACGTATTATTTTAATACCCTATTTAATCTTGTATTTTATATATTTATATTGTATTAAATTGTATTATTTTATCTAATTCATCTATATTTAATACAACAATCAAACGAGTTCAATATTCACTCTGAAAAATACTATTTAGACTTTATTTAGATATCTAATTAAATTCAACCATTAAATTAAAAAAGGGCTCCAATTATTGAATTAGTTATCTAAAACATTACTCTATTTAGTCCAAGTGAAGATGTAGGCGTTGTTGACTAATTTGCTAACAATTATTAAAAAAGCCCCTTTTGAACCTTATCAGCTGTGCAGGGAGCACAGGCTTTCAATAACACTAGGAGCGGTTTTTACAATTCTGTGGGACAAGTTTATAAGCATTCTGGGTGAGCCAACATTATCAATCTTTTGTCGCCATATCTAAACACAGATATGTCTATGAATAACATGGGCACCATGGTCCAGCCACACCAAACCAAACCAAACCCACCTCTATCTTCATTATATAAGCTTACCCATGAAGAATATCTCAAAATATCAAGCATTCAACCATCTCCAAAGTGTCTAAGATCTTTCTCTCTGTCTCTCTCTGCTATCCCTTTCTTGTTTTGTCTTTCTGATAGATAAGTGTTAAGAAAATGTCTGGACTTGTGGATATTTGGACTAGCAAGGTGGCCAAGCTGCGCAACAACAAGGGTGAAGCTGAAGCCACAGTCTCATCAAGTGGGTCTGTCCCAACCAGCCCTGGGGCTAGCCAGGTGAACCTTGAAGAAGAAAGGAGCACCCTCGGAATATTATCACCCATCTTTGCCAAACTCTCGCCGGCAGCGATCTGCTCTGACACCTCAGTCTCCATGCTCGTGGATTGCTTTAGTCCTTGATAGAGAAAACAACCTACTGTTTTTTCCGTAAATACTTTCTTTGCTTTCCAAGTTTCACTTTTTTCTTTTTTAAGGCATCACTGTTATCTTGACCTTAAACTAGTTGCAGTATATGCTGGTAGAAAGCAGCCTACAAGTCTTCAGCTGTATCCAATAAGTTGAGTTAATTATGCTTATGTTAATGAAAGCCTATGATTTAAAATAGTATGAGTTTTTTTTTTTGGAACCGAAAAAGGGGAGGACGTGACCAACGGGTAGTAATTCTCTTGGCATAATCCACAGGGTTCCTCTCGCTGTGAAATGTTTAGTTTGAACCATAATTATTAATTGGGAAGGACAATTCGTCGTCATAGCACCATTGAAGTCGAATAACAAATCGCATTATTCCTATGAATCGAACCTTATTTGATAATCATATAAGAGTCAATGACAACTTTAAATAAATATAACTTATTACTAGGCTATGAGTTCAACAAGGTAACTTACATTGGGTGAGATGTACTCTCTTACACTTCTTCAATAGTCTCTCCATTGTCACTTAATTCTCTGTCTTATAGAGTCAAGCAATTCAATCTCTATAAATTCAATGTTTAGATTCAACCTTGTTTATCATGTCAAGTAAGACGGATTTATGTCGAATTTAAATGATTTGTATAAAAAATACTTCATTAATATTTAATTTATTTATTAATTCGTCTCTAACTCATGTTATTTTATAAATAATATATAATCGATATATAAAACGAGTTGTATTGTATATTTTATTTATATAAATATCACAAAACTTATCAAATTCTACGACAAGAGGACAAGATTGTGACCTGAATTTCTCAATCGACGGCGACTGGTTGTTGCTTTGACGGCTCGATATTCTTCTTCGACTTCGGATCGCACTCGACGAGAAAGTCTTCGACATTGTACACGACAGTGATGTAGAGTGAGCAGCTAGGGCACCAAGCGAAGAGTCTCAGATCTTCTTCGGTAATCTGAAATATGTCTCTACATTGGTGCGGGTACATGAAGGCCTGAAGCTCCTCGTTCCACTCCATATCTTCGATCCAAACTTTGATCTGCGCAATTTGGGCTACCGGAGATTGATGAATCTCCACCGCCACTGGCTACCCTCAATTATTAGATTGATCGGAGTTTGGGAGGCACAAAGTAGGTTAATGAGGTCAGTTTACTTTGGGTGGGAAAACTATAGGGTAAATTGACCCATTGAAATTGCCTAATTGTACATTATCTCTCATTTCTAACAAAAACATAAATAATATTTTGACTAAATTACTTCAACAGCCCTTAACGTTTATCACTAGCTAAAATTTAGCTTTTAGTTTCGATTTTACAAATTTAATCCNTCTTGATTGAGGATATTGGATCTTAGTTGAGGCGAATTGGGTCTTAGTTGAGGGGAATTGGGTCTCAGCTAGGATTGTCAATCGTATAAAGTGAATTCATATAGAACCTTAATGGCTTCGGATTAAAAAATATTTTATCAATACTTCATTTATTTATTAATTTTTATCTAATTTTTACCTAACGAATCGTGTCATATTAAATTTGTGTCGTAAATGAATCGAATATAATTGTATATAAATAAGTCAGGCCGTGAATACTTAAAGTTTATCACTAGCTAAAATTTAGCTTTTAATTTCAATTTTATAAATTTATTACTCTCATTTAAACAACTTCAAAAGTAGGCCCATATATGATGCTACTACCCCCCATTTTACCAAAACCGATACAACCCAAATGTAAAATGATGCACCGCTGAGCTGACAACCATAGTAATATTGTATTGAGGGAAGAGGATTTATATCCCAAGGAATAAATATTCAGCGGAACAATTATACGACATCAGTATTATCATATGATGTAATCCTTTGATGTTAATCAATAAGTGGATCAAGTGGCCCAATTTTTTTTACATGGAGTGGTTGCTATAGTACATTAAAGAGTAGTTATTTTAGTAAGTGGGGTCTATTTTTTTTATTTGGTGAATTATTATTGTATAGTTATATCATATGATAATGTTGATGTGGTATAATTGTTATACCTAATAGACTCATTTGGTAGACATATTATCAAGGTATTAAATATAAAATTGTACTATTTTTTATTTAATTGAGTCTAATACTTTGTTCGATAAATAAATTTGATACCGNAGGTATTAAATATAAAATTGTACTATTTTTTATTTAATTGAGTCTAATACTTTGTTCGATAAATAAATTTGATACCGTATTAATTTCAAAAACATATATTAATCATATACTTAACGTATATTTTTTATATGATAGACCTATATTATGATAGTATTTTAATACCACATCTTTAGATGGTATTATAATCTAACTCAAATGTATTAACCAAATAACTCATTGTATTAAATAACTATTATCTAACGTTTATATTGTGTATTGTCAAATATTAGATACGATTACGTATTATTTTAATACCCTATTTAATCTTGTATTTTATATATTTATATTGTATTAAATTGTATTATTTTATCTAATTCATCTATATTTAATACAACAATCAAACGAGTTCAATATTCACTCTGAAAAATACTATTTAGACTTTATTTAGATATCTNTCTCTCATTTCTAACAAAAACATAAATAATATTTTGACTAAATTACTTCAACAGCCCTTAACGTTTATCACTAGCTAAAATTTAGCTTTTAGTTTCGATTTTACAAATTTAATCCTCAAAGTNACAGCCCTTAACGTTTATCACTAGCTAAAATTTAGCTTTTAGTTTCGATTTTACAAATTTAATCCTCAAAGTTTACGCATTAAACCAATATAATCCTTCATGGTTTAAATTGGTAACCAAAAACCATCTTCTGTGTGACATGTTAATATTGCTGATGATAATTATTGGAAAAAATGAAATCTGAAAGACAAAGTGAACTACAGTGTGAAGGGCGGGTTAAGTCGTTTTCTTAAAATGATTCATGTCCTTTGTGAAAGAAACATAGCGTAAAAAGATAACAATTCGTCGTCTCCATAATACATCAACTCAGTCTATTCGTTGTTACTTCACTCAGATCTGTATAATCTAATGAAACAAAAGTTTTACACGATACTTTTCAATTTTACCCAAAAACTTATGCAGTAGAGAAAAATATAGTAGATATACTCAGATTATAATTTTTTATCGCATCCTAATAAAATTTTTATTTTTTATTTAACGATCAAGATGTTCAAGTCAGTTTACACGTACTTTAACAATTTTAAACGTAGATCCAACACACTGTAATTGTCTAATGTTAAATAAACATGTGAACAAATGACTCTATCTTTTGTACATAAGATGTTAGGGATAGTTATTTGAACGAGTTTGATCTACTTTTTCTATTTGATAAATTATTATCAAACGATTATTCTACGTGATAATATTGATGTGATTTAATTCGTTATTGTTCATATTTACTCCGGGTGAAGATGTAGGTGTTTTTTTTTTTAACCTTATCAGCTGTGCAGGGAACACAAGCATTCAATAATTAATTAGCAGCGGTTTTACAGTTCTGTGGGAATAGTTTAGAAACAGACTGGGTGAGCCAACATTATTAATCTTTTGTCTCCATATTTAAACACACTGTTACACACAGATTTTTTTATGAATCTATGCAATGACACATGGACCCTACCAAACCCACTTCTATCTTCATCTGTATGTGTGTATATATATATATATAGAATTACCCATGAAGAATATCTCAAAATATCAAACATTCAAGTAAATCTCAAAAGTGTCTAAGGTATTTCTCTCTCTCTCTCTCTCTCTCTCTCTCTCTCTCTGTGCTAATCCTTTCTTTGTTCGGTCTTTCTGATAGATAAGTACAAGAAAATGTCTGCACTTGTGGATATTTGGACTAGCGAGCAGGCCAAGCTACGCAACAAGGGTCAAGCCACTGTCTCAAGTGGGTCAGCCCCGACCAGCCCTGGGGCTAGCCAGGTGAACCATGAAGAAGAAGAAAGGAACTCCCTGGGGTTATTATCACCCATCTTTGCTAAACTCGTGCGATTCAAGTTGCCGCCGACGATGTACTCTGAGGCCTCTGTCTCCTTGCTTGTGGAATGGTTTAGTGCTTGATACACAAAAATAATTTGTATTTTAATGCAAATTTCATCTACTTTTTACTTTTGTTTTTGAGGGGCTTAAACCTAGTTGTTGTATAGGCTAACTAAGAGGCTGGGCTACAAGACTTCAGTTGTATCCAATAATAAATTGTGCAAATTACGTCTATGCTACTTGTTTTAGAATAAAAAAGTTGAGTTTTCAATGGTTCGAATATTCCACAAATGCATGTCCTTTGCACAAGTTGAATCATTAATCTAATGAGTGAGCAAGAACATAATTGAATTATACTAAGAACAATACTACATAAACTATAAAAATAAATTTGATAATTTTAATGATTAATTTTATTGTGGGTTCCACTGTCTGTTTAGTGATTGTAATTATCAAGTATAATTTTTAAATTCGTACACCTTTATTCTTATACTAAATTTGTAAAGATAATCTTTTTGCTAGAAAAAATTATTGTGATCTCATAATTGAATGTTTTAACTTTTATTTTTCACATTGACTAATAATGCTTTAAACATTAACATTTCCATTTCTTTTGCAAGCACAAAATACCTAAAACAAGTACTAAATGTGGAGGTGCGGGGAATCGAACCCCGTGCCTCTCGCATGCGAAGCAAGCGCTCTACCATATGAGCTACACCCCCCTTACTGCTATTTGTGATAATGTATTTTATCTAAAACAAGTAAATTTTACAGCAGCAAAACTTCTGCTAATAACTGATTTCATGTATAAGTTCTCTTGGCTCGGGTTAGACCTAGGTCGTAGATCAATTTCCATGATTTTATTTGGTAGTTTTTTTTAACTGATATTGGTATTTCTTAAGATATAACATAGTGAGTTTGAAAGATGATCAACATAATTCATAATTTAATACACTTTACGGATGTTGAATTTGATTTTTGATAATTCAGAGATCTCAGATTGCATCCCTTCACACACCCTTAAGGGCTAGCTACGCTTGTTCCTTTAGGAACATGCTTTGATCCAACTCCAGTTACGATGGTCAGCTGTTAAATTCAAGGACGTAGTTAACGCAATCTTAAACATAGGGGTATGACTTAGACGGGTTGAGAAATCAACTCTAGTCTAACTCTAAGTATAAAATCTTCAACTCTAACACAAATCTTAACCCTAATTCGACCTCAATCCGAGTAGTATTGTCCGAGTTAGTTTTAGATAAGCTCGAGTTGAAAAAAGGTTATCTAATTCAAGTTCGATAGACAATAATCCTAAATTAAGTATAAACTTTTATAAAATGTTGGATTATTATGTAGGCCTAATACTATTTTTTCTGGATTATGTTCAAATTGACTCGCTTAAGTTACGCCCTTACTTTGACACCCTGTTAAACAAAAAAAAACAAAGAATTCACTACTTAATAGGTGTGATGTATATTAGCAGCTGGTTTATTGGTCAACATTCCCGTTATTAACTCTTAACATCTCTATTATTGGACCTTAAAGTGACGGGTTCGAATTTCATCCTCCCATTCACTGTATCAATGCTTTGACCAAAAAAGGACAATAGCTAAGGGGTGACTCATACCACCAGCAACGCCTCCTGTATTTCCTTCTCTTTTGTCGGCCCAACAGAACCATTGGCTCCTTATCCTATACCACTGAATAGTTGAATATTGAACACACAGTATTACATAATGTGGGTCCATGTGGTCCTCTTAAAAAAAAAACCGACAACTTTTTTTTTTTAATTATGATTTGTGAGCTTGAAACAAAATTAATAAATTTGATTTTAATCCTAATAAATTTGAGTAGAAAACGGATGGACTCGTTATAATTTTTAAATAAATACGTTAATACGAATTTGACCAAACATGAATTCGCTAACACGTGATTTATATATAACTTATATTTTATGCGAATCCGATACAACATGCATCTGGGTTATACACAGTTACAAATTGGTCAAATGTGAGTTAAGTAAATTTTGGTACAACACGAGAAAAACCCGACACGACACACGTAATTGACAACTTTACTCTAAAATACACAATGATTTTTGTATACAAGCTAAAACTTTTCTTCTTTACTTGCACTGCTGATTCCTATAAAAAGGAAATAAAGATATATCAAGAGAACTCCATTCCAAATCACCATCACTCAAATAATGCATATAAACCAACAAAATCACATAATAACGCTTCAAAATATCTTCCTCCCCAAAGGTATCCCAGCCAGTCTTGTAGAATATCCCAAAACATATCCATGTGCCATGACCGTGTATCAATGGGCGTCTACACACTGATTTTTCTAACACCACTCAAAATTCTTCTCTCTCTCTCTCTCTCTCCTCTGTGTGTGTGTATATATAGATATCCACCTTCCCTCTTCATTTGCATAGTGGCCATAAAGAAATATACTGAGAAAAGAGAGAGGGTTCAAAGCATGGCAGCAGTGGTTGATGTGTGGATGGGTGGGCTAGCCAAGCTGACAGAGAAGGTCCAGGCTAGAAAGCCATTGTTCTTCAGAGCAAAAAGAAGAGAAGCTATTGGTGAACAAGAAGAGAACAAAGGTACCAAAGAAGAATCTTCTTCTTCTTCTTCTTCTGTCATGCAAAAATCAGTAGCAGCAGAGAAGAAAGAGAATTCAATGTCAGAAGCAACAGTATTTTTGCTCATGGACCGGTTTGCACCATGCTGATCATCAAGAAATCACAAAGAAAGATTGCAAGAGCTTATGTTTATGTTGGTTGTGTGAATACTTTTTAGATTCAAATGCTTAAAGCTTTGTCTCAATTTTTTTTTTTATCGGCTACATGAATTTTGTTTCGTTATTAGGAGTCTTGTTTGATCATTATGATCTGTCAAACATCATACTTTATATTAGAAGACGACGACTATGATATATATTTTTTTGGTTCAGAAGTTAATTTTGATCTTCTTCTATTCCCCATTTTACCGTTGATAAGAATTATATAATTAGATTGACATATATTCTCACCCAATTTCTTTGTTTATTGCAAGGTTATCAAAGAATCCAGCACTTGATAATACATAGTAGCTCAATAATAACTCATAAGACAGAAACAGCAACCCTGAAAATGGGCTGTACCAGAAAATCTGGCAATAGCAGAATAAAGGAATCCCTGACATCACATATCGAAAATTCTAAATCTCATATCTGTTACACATAACCA